TTATACTGTACATTTGTATGTATTGTACATACTTTAAAACATATCCACAGTGGAGGATGCAATGCTTAGGTCTTTTTCTAAATTAGTGGGGAAATCCCCTCCCCCCAATACTGACAAAGCCATGATCATATCAAGATGAGATGTGTGTATTGACATCATCACACAAATGACATTATGTATTTGGGACATAACACCCAGCATAAGTATATAAACTGTATAATTTGCTTAATGCATGGGCCATCATCTGCCTCTCCCTCATCCCTGATAATATACATAATATCATACCATTGAAAAGGGCCATTTAGGGCAGTGAATCCAGTTCCCTGATCGGTATAGAAATTCATATTATAGCATCCCAAACAGACGTCTCTCTAGCATCTGACTGAACCCATTCAATGGAAGGGAGCCTGACACCTCTCTGGATAATTGGTTCCATCATCAAGTGTTCTTTCTGTTACCAAGCTATTACTAAAATTCAATTGAAATCTGCCTTCTCATATCTTAAATCCACTATTCCATGTCCTGCACTCCAGAACAAAAGAGAGCAGGTCTTGACATTTTTCTATGTGGCAATCATTCAGGCATTTAAGAGGGCTAACATATCTTTCCTCAGTTCCTTTCTCATGGTTAGATATACCCAACTCCTTCATTTTGTCTTCATAGGACTTTCATTTCTAGTCTCCTGATTGATCTCACTATCTTTCTCAACCTATTCTCATTTTTCTAAATTGGCACCCAAAAGTCAACACAGCATTTGAGATGAGGCTGAATGAAGCAAGATGAGGTGGAACATTTACTCTGAGTTTGCAATCAACTACTAAGCAGTTTTTTTTAGAAGTATCACTACCAAACCAGTTGTCTACCAACCTATAACTAAACACTGAGCTTTGTTTTTAAGTGGGGAAAAAAAAAGCACGTATCTGTTAAACTGTCTTATGTCCAATTTATGATCTAATAAAATACCCAGATTTTTTCCATCTGTACTACTGCCAAATCAACCCTCCCCATGCTATACTAAGACTTTCATTTTTTTCTGCCAAGATGTAGGACTTCATATTTGTTCCTGTTGAATTTTGCTTTGTTGCAGCCTATGATTCATGTCTACATCTTTTTGCAACTTCTATTTCTCTTCTAAAGAGTTAGCCACTACTCCTAGTTTTGCATTATTTGCTAATCTAATAATCATCTTCTCAATCTTTCCATCCAGGTCATTAATAAAAATGTTGAACAGCATAGGGGCCAAGATAGAACCCTGTAGCAGTCCGCTTAGTACTACTCTCCAAGCAGATATGGAGGCATTTAGAAGTACTATTTTACATTATACCATCTAGCTCTTATTTTACCATTGTATTAATCTGGACATCATGGGAGACTTTATCAAATGTATTGCTGAGGTTAAGGTACACTATGTTTGTGGCATTCCCCTGATCTATTAAGCTAGTAACTGTCAAAAAAGGAAGTAACGTTAGTCTGGCATGACTTGTAAAAAACCCCATGCTGGCTCTTGTTAACTACTACATTCTTAACCAACTGATCACCAATACATTGTTCAATAATCTTCTAAAAAAACTTGCCAATTATAAACATCAAGCTAAGAGGCCCATAATTTCCCAGATCCCCCTTCCCTTTTTTGTAGACAGGAACAACATTTGCTTTCTCCCAGTCTTCTGGGACATTGCCAGTTCTCCAGGTTTTCTGGAGATTATAGTTAGTGGTTCCGATAGTTCCTTCAATACTCTGGATGTAAGACTTGAATTCATGTAATTGTCTTTGTGCAGTGGTCTTTGTGTAGTTCTTTAGCTTTTTAATAGATTTCCCCTTGATAAGCTTACTTATCAAGATAACAAGACAAGTAAGATGTGTTCTGATTGGACACATCCCCATCTTTATGCAAGTAAAGCATATTTTTCACTCCCATGAGCACAGGGTGAGTTTTCCTTCTTGCCCATCTCCAGTTCCATGCCACTGCTCTTTCTCCCTCCCACCCCCCCACCAATCCAAAGCACGTTGAAAGATCAAAAGATTCAGCCCAAGAATCACTAAGGAAAGGATTTTGGTGAGATATATATCCCTATGTATGCATTATCAAAGCTTCAGTCACATAAGCGGAAGGTTGGTTCTAAATATTTCTGTGTTAATGTTTTCTGTATAATATAGTCCAAATGTATAGAAAATGACATAAAGCCAACATTCTGTTTCAATCAGAATAAGAAAATCAGAAGAGTTTCAAACGTGTGTGGAAACTGTATTGTTGCAGCCCACATTAGCCCTTTAATTGGTTCCCTGGAAGTCAGGCTACTCAGTATTATTCAGGATGATCAACGTCCATTTTTCCTTTGACTGTGGGAAGGCAACTGCTTTACTTCTGACATAGCCTCCTGACAGGCCAAAGGTCAGTTACCCTATTCGAGGCTCCCAACTGTCTCTTCCTCCCTGTCCCATTTTTTAAAAATAAAAGTTTATTTTGATGCAGAATAAAGAATACAGCATTTTAAGTACAAAACAGCTATTTTTTCAGATTTTTTTTAAAAAAGCTTGGTGAACTACGAATTAGTTTACTTGTGTAAGAAAAGAGCAAGTTATTTATAGATTCAACAGAATTGTTTCAATAAATTAAAAATATATAATATGAACTTTAGAATATTAAACGAAGGAAGACACACAGAGTCAGTTCCCTTGCTAGTACTGTTGTCGCCTCAAAGAAATTTAGTTTGGGAAATAAAGACAGGAGGTGGGAGAGTGAATTTGCCCTGCAATTCACTTTTGAGTAAGATTTTGATCGGCTTTTTTCAAAACGTAAAACAAAATTAAGACACAAAACAAGGATGTAATTAAATTTTGAGGAATAAATATTAACACGTGTCCTAAAACTCTGGACTGATTTGCATTTTGAATATGTAAATAAAAGTAACCATCCCGCAAGATCCTGCTATCTTTTACAAGGACGAAATTCTTCAAACCTAAGTTGGAGATTAAAAGTACTATTTTAAATATCATCTTTAACATATGTAGAAATTACCTAGAAGGAAAATTATTTCTTTATGGAAGTCATTACTTTGAAAGCCTTTCTGACATACAGCAAGGCTCCATTTCCACAATATCCATCAAATCACTTAGTGAGAAAAAGTAGGAAGAACCATGTTGTCAGAAGTAGCAAATGAGCTTTGCTGGCTTTGCAGATAGAGGTGGAGGGCCTGACACTAATGACCTGTGTCATGCTTCACAGACACTGTTTAGCACTGCACAATACTTTAGAGAATGTCTGGGTGCAAATTCTGAATCCTTCAAGAAAATAATCACAAAGCTTCTGAAGCTGTACATAGAGAAAAAAAGTGATTCTGTAAGTTTCATTTTGTCTTTTAACTATACAGTTTTAAAGCAATTTAAATTAGGAAAACACTTCTAGAAATAGACAAATAGGTCAACTTTTTAAATTATGCGATTACGCACAGTCATTAAGCAAATGTTGACAAGACAATGCTAACCCAGAAAACTGGTTTTTAAAGAGAATTAGGTATTTTTGCAGACAGATGTCAGTGCTCTTGCTTTTCTCTCTGCTGGAACCTTGTAAGCCACATTAATTTGTTCCTGGAATGTACTGTTTTTTGACGGAATCCTAAATTTCCTTTCAATTTATTTATGCCATTTACTTTGCATCAGCTGCATCTGTTGAATCCAATATACTATTTCCATATGTATGTATGTATGTATGTATGCATGCATGCATGCATGCATGCATGTAAAAGCTACATTTTTTTGCTCCCTCCCCCACCTTTCAAACATGCTGCCAAACCAACTTAGAAAAAACTTTTAAGAGCTGGGAACAATGTTACCACAGGGTGCCAAATTTGCAGTGAAAGCCCCAAAGGCTGTTGTCACGCAAAGTTTGACAAGGCTTGCCAAATGGTTTCTTTAGGATATAAACGGCTTGTGAAGTGACTGAGGCCTTTGTATTTACAGCTGAATGCTGCAGATGGGAACGTCTCTGCCAAGAAAGAATAACTGCTGTTTCTGCCATGTGAAGTTTTACACGCATAATTAAGGAACACACTCCTATGTATCTAACAGTATTTTCCTGCTTGGGAGTGGGGCTGGATGGGTTTCTCCCCTTCAAGGGATTCCTTGGGGAACAAAAAGGTTGGTTTTCTGAAACAACAGACAGCTAAAAATGCAACACGCAGTTAATTGAAGTACAAACCTATTATACATTCTTCAACATTTTTGCCAAGGAAATAACACAGTGATTAAAAAATATGGTTGGTAAGTCAGTGCACAGAGCAAACAACCAACTTGAGCATCCCCACCATAGATCTTGCCCGGCCACTTTGAATTCTGACTTTTACTCAGTCAACAGATCCTAAAATCCCTGGAGCATTTAAAAAAATACACTTTCTTAGAAGACACATTGTGGCAACTGCAGGAAGAGATATGTCCTTTCAGTATCTCATGCTCAAGATTAATACTCCCAACCTGAAGGCTCATATCATATATTTGCTGAACTTCTTTACTTTTATTGTATAAAGTCAGCAAGTCTTGAACTTATACAAAATACTTCCAGTAGGATGCATAAATTACCCAGACAGAATAAAGCTGCAGTACAATTCTCTTCTGAGAATTCAGGAGAATAGTATTTGTTTTAAATAATTTTCTCCACGTTTGTCATCTGATAATGAATTCCAGAGCCAAATTTCAATAAATTGACTTATTTTAATAGCTCAATTCTAATGTTTCCTCTTCTTCGCCTCTGACAGTGCAGCTCTATATTTGCCTGGACAAAAGGCACCCCTTGTTCTTAGACTAGTCAGACAGGCCTGGCCTTTCAAAGTGAAACACAAACTCTCAAGCCCACTCCAGTTATGCTGGGGTTATTTTTTTTTTCCAGCCTTTTCAGAAACTATCTATGGGAATGCAGTGTTTCCAAAGAGCAAAAAAATAATCAAGATGTGTGCTCTGGGACAGAATGTATTCTTATCACTGTTATCTGGAAAATTCTCATTTACCTCAATTTTGTCAGTCTTTGCATCTCCCCAATAAAGTTTCTCTTCCTCAAGATCCAATGCCAAACCATTAGGCCATCCTAGAGAAGTATTCACAAGGACTTTCCTTTCAGACCCATCCAGATAAGCACATTCAATTTTCGGGTTTTCACCCCAGTCTGTCCAATACATATAACTGTTGTGGAAAGAAAAAAACGGCAATATTATTTTTAAACACAATAATTTTATCAAATATATTACTGCATTTTTAAGGTGTGTTTTTCAGCAAAAAACTTTTCCATTAACTGGTACCAAGAGGAAGATTCTTTCAAAGATCTCAGAGTTTGTGAGATCTACAAAGGATTAACAATATTGTAAGGAATAACACCTTAAATGAGGAAGGAGAAATGAAATCTCACTCAAAAATCATGGACTTTGCTACCTAGAATAGGCTGATGGTTGTGTATTCCAAATTTATTAAATACCAATAAAGAGTATGGGTTGGGAAAACATATTTTCTTATATTGACAAGCCATATTGGAACAACATGGTATGGCAAAACAGTTAACATTTTTAAAGTATCATGCTTCATAGTGCAGAAATGCAAAGGGAGAGCAACTACCATATTTTTAAGATTGAACAAACACTTGCAAGACTTACCCCATCACAGGATTGAGCACAATCGCTCTAGGTTCATCTAAGTTTTCTGATATAAGGATCTTTCTTGATGTCCCATTCAAACGTGTAACTTCAATCCGATCTGTGCCAGTATCAGTCCAATACAAATTCCTACCCACCCAATCTACTGCTATACCATCAGGATGATTTATCTCTGTTGTTACTAGAGTCTGGGCTCCAGATCCATCAAGAAATGCCCGGCGAATAGCTCTGACATCATCATCTGTCCAGTATATGTAGCCCTCAACAGGGTCATAGTCAATTGCAATAGCATGCCTAATATTGTCTATTTGCAGAATAACATCTGTGAAGTCTGGCATGTCCAGGGAAATTCTTCTTAGATCTGTTCTTCTAGCAAGCAAGAGGACTTCCTCAGCACCTAGGAAAAAAGTTACTAGTAATCAGTTCTTTCCTTTATTTAAGTTTCAGGAACATTTGCTTTTCAGAAGGCAAAGAAGCGATAATAAAAAAAAAAAGTAAAGTGTGAACAAATTTTGTTAAGCAAAGTGTTATCTAATACTGTGCCTGGGCTCCCAGACTGTCAAATTAATTTGTACCAGAAAGGCAAAACTGTAGCTTTTGAAATTCAATTTCTAGTTTTCCAGTTAACTTTGCTCTTTGTGTATTAGTAGAAGGAAATTCACAGACTGCATAGAAAAAGATGCATCTGATAGTGAAGGAAGATTACAGATTTTTCTCCAATGGCAATAATGTTTTATGGAAGATGTGGACAATAGAAATTTCTGGTTCTACTGATATAGTTAGGAATATACATTCCCTAAGTACAACTCCTATATGAAGACACTGCTTTTCTGGATTACAGGTTTTTTTTTTTTTAAACTACAAATGTTGAGCAAGATGAAACAAAATTAGAAAGCACATTTTGAGATTGTTTTCTTCTATAAAAAAATTAAAGTCCCCCCTGCCTTGATCACACTCCAGAAGGATAATATAGTAGGTTAAGGAGTTGGACTATCACTGAGAAGAAAGGCAGGATGTAAATGTTACAAATAAATGATTTCATTTCTAATGAACAAATTAAAAGAAAATGTCTAGACTTCATACTTTGTCAACTCAGTGAACTATTTCATTACAATATAAAATTCAATATGATATTTATACAGTATGCAGCATCACTATCTAACAAATAAACCTACACATTTATTTAACACTAGGCACATCATTTGATAAATTCAGAAGTCAGGTGGTCAAGTACCAATTACAATACTAATTTATCCTTGAGAAACAATTTCCAATGTAAATGATTTGTTTCCAATATCAACTTAACACGAACTTAAGATGCTAACTGCAATGTTTCCCAAACAAATACTTGATCACAACTATAGACAGATCCTGGAGATGGAGATGGAAATAACCATTATCAAAATGATGTTCCCTGGGACTTTTTTTTCCATTTGAGATATCATCATGACAAGAAGCTGTAACAGATACTTCTAGGATGGTCATCTAGGACATGAATTCAAATGCTCCTTTTCTGTCCTTGCTTCTGAGGAACTGGTACCCAGTAGATGATGCCTTTACTGAAGTTATAAGCTATGAGGATGAAAAGCCATTAATTCACTTTTTGCAGGTCCACCTAAAGTCAAGTGGCCAAAATAACATCCCAAGGCAGCACGTTCTTTAAAAATACTATATGCATTGTTCCCAATGGCTGTGTTCTCTGTACATGATGCAAACTTCTAATGGCTTCAGTCCCTGTCTCTTTTACTGTATTTCTCCTTCTAAATCCTAAACAGTAATAATATAAGACAGAAACTTCTAATATGTTTATGAGAATGAATAGAACTCTGCATAATATTTCACTGTAGATTTTTATAAAAGCATTATATTGTAATGTAATGTAATCCTAATATTTCCTTAAGAACATATGAAAAAAAAAAATTAAGTGTGATGTGTCAAGATAAATCTTCACTGAACTACCGAACATGGCCAAGATCTCAGAGGATAAGAAGTAGCTATCAGACAAAACTAAGCTTAAAATACTGAACAAGGTTACAGACTACTGCTAAAACTAAGACCAAAATCCAATTTCATTCTAGATCATTACTTGCATTTGATTATTCAGGCTAACTGGCTGTATATCTGAATTTCTTCCCCTCCGCCCCCAAATTCTGACAACCGAGAATATTGGAGGACTCATAAGTTTAACGACATTTGAATTGCACTAAATATTGTGTTATTAAAACAAATTAAACAATACTATTTTAAACAGTGAGAAAGTAGGAGCTGAAGCTATTATATGGTGTAGCTTATTAGGCAAGGATTGTTCTTATCAAAATAAATAAAAAGATGTGTGGAAAAACAGTTTCAAGAAATAGTTTTAAAATGTTTGTCTTTCTTGCTAGTACTGGGCATAAATATTCACAGTGAAAGGATTTTTATGAACTTAAGGGAAAATATTACTGCTGTGTGAGAAAAGCACCTTCATAAAGCATTTTCAGAACCTGCTCTTCAAAGAGAGTACTGTGCCTTCTCAAAAGCTTGGCCTGGTTCCGACATTTTTAAACCTTTCATGGCTGGTTTTACTTGTCCTCATTTCATGCACTCCTTCCAGGTAGGTTCCAACCAACATCCTCTTTAAATGCACAAGGAAAGGATTAGCTACATCTTGGCCAGTCCTCACTTTTCCAAAGAACACTTCAGAGCCTCCTGTCCTTTGTATTCTTTGTATGCATGAACCTCTGTTTTGTGATATAAGACTTCCTTTCCTTGCATTAATATGCATACTTACTACCTTGCTTTTTTTTTTTTAATGTTTTGTTAAACAATTTATATTAGCCTGGACCATGGGAAAGGACTGACCCGAATTAACTCTTCAAGGTGCAACTTATTTAGTCAGTGTTTGATAGTTAACATCAGGTTAATATTTAACCAGCAACAATTGTGATCTTAGCTGCTCTTTTCTCTATTCTGATGCCTCTCAACTGGTTGCCAGAAAGGTGCTCTGCTGGGTTATAGCTGTCCTTGCCATGACAGACAATACATTTCAGAGCACAAGGGCAGATTCCACATCTGAATGTTTCTGAAGGAGATATGAACTGCAAGCAAGAATTACCTCTGCCTCTCTCTTCCTGCCTGATTTTGGTTCTCCTGATCCTTGTTTACCAATTTTTTCTACTTACAGGGAAGCATTTTAAAAATGCAATTTATCTACCTGCAGATTTGGACTGGTACAGTCCTTTCTCTTCAAGACTCAGCTATCTCATTCTGTTCCATGGATAGATCAGACTGCAGCCCATGACTCCATATTCGTAAGAGAAATGAAAAAAGAATCTTAGTCTGGATCCAAAGGACTGCTTTATGCTGCAGTATGTAACTTTTTAGCAAGTCACTGTCTTCTGCAATAGTTTGATGAGCAATTCAAGTGAAACACTCTTATTGTTAATAAAGTGTATTAATGATACTGCCAGATGGTTTCTAGGAAAGGGTGCAGCTACGTTACATTTTTAATAGTAATTTTATTAAACATTACAATTAAAAGATAAGAACTAATACAAACGAAAAAGAAATAAAAGAATACAAAGAAAAAATAGAAAGTGAAGAAAAAGGAAAAATAGAAAGAAAAATAGAAAACAAAGAAAAAATAAGAATATAGTAAAGAAAAAGAAAAGAAATATATAAAGAAATGACTTCCC